CCGCCTAGACTGTTGGGCTTCTGCGGGGACCTGTACGTGGTGGAGCGGGTGCCTCACACTCCCCTGTACGGGCTCAGCCTGCCGTGGCCCATGGAACTTTGGATTCCTACGGGCATGTGGCGAAACATGGACCAGTGGTTCACGCCTTCCTGGCCACGCAAGGCTAAAATATTTATCGGCTTGCTGGAGCTTATAGAAGACATCTTCCATGGTACCTTTGGGAGCTTCTTAATGTGCGACATGAGAGCCAGTACTTTTGGTTACACCGATCGCCATGACCTCAGGCTGGTGGACGGGCGGCGTGTAGTAGCTGAGGAGGCCTTCAAACAGGCCATGATCCTTCAGCGCTGTGAGGATGATGAGGACTGCGTCTACGGTGTGGACTGTAGGGCTTCGTGCGACCGCGCAGAACACCGCTGCACGGCCGAGGTGGCTCAACCCAACCTGGCCAGGGCTTGCGGAGCACTGAAGGATTACCTCCTACGAGGAGCTCCGGTCCATCTACAGGAAGAGCTGGAGAAGCAGCTGTACGCCTGCATGGCTCTCAAAGGTTCAGCTGAGCAGATGGAAATGGAGCACTCGCTCATTCTCAACAACCTCAAGACGCTGCTATGGAAACAGATCTCACACACCAATGACTCCTGAAGAGAAATTAAGATGCACTGGTGACAACATTCAGATTCTTGAATGTCTTCTGAAGCACTTCAGGCCATTGTGAATCTGGCTGGAGATTACAATGCTGGTAGCAAAGTGGCTGGAAAATAGGCTGATGGCAATATTCATTGCTGCTTTGATATTTAAGTTATTTTTCACGACGAAGGTAGAATTAAAACCATGAGGAATTATTGCTCAGGCTCAATTTAAGAACTGAAGGAGTAACGTTCACTTCTTAGTTTCGTGTCTTCGTGCTTTGTTGTCACACACAATTGAACAGTGATCATGTTTATTTTACACTTCCTTCAGAGCTTATGAAGGAGCAGATGACACTAACTTTGCATCCATTGTTGGATGTTAACATAGAAAGCACTCGCCACAGACTGTGGTTGTGTAAGTCTCCTATTGTAATGTTTGTCACATGAGCACAGCAAAAAGAGCCATTTTGAAATGGGCACATTAATCCAATGCCTTGATATGCATGTTGCCAGTGAGTGCGTTTTTTTTTGTTTGATGCTTGTGGGTGAAAACGTCTCATTCTTTGTACTTGAGCAATTCTTGGAAATGGTCAGACTGTCTATGATCTGAAGTTAACAGATTGCAATAAGGTTAAATTTGATATAGTACTTAAAACAATACTTTTAAAGCATTAGTCTATGTTAATGTTAATTTATATATGTACAAATACATTTACAGCATCTCAAGTTGTATAATTTAACGTATTACAAATGTGAATTACCTTGGAATATTTTGAAATTAACATTTTAACTTAGATTAATAAATGCTGTGAACTGCTAATTAGTTTGTGATACCTAATCCTATTTTAAAGGGTTAACGCAGATCACACTACACAACTTTTGCCTGGATTTTCAAGGTCTGTGACAAAACCCCTGGATTGCGGTCAAATCAGTGCTCGTTGTGGTCGCTGGTGCTCTTTTAAGTATATGAGTAGGTCAGCGTCATGATCTGAGCTTATCTCGAGCAGTCACAGACACGGTGATATTTTCAAATCTATTTGATATTATTGCCACATGATCTTGCAGGGTGTGCTTCTGTGCGATGCAATGACAAGGTGGAACTAATCCAGCCAACAACAGTCCAGATGGTATAAACGGAAAAATCTTGTAATCACTTGCATGAAATTGTGAGAAAATGTTGACCAAATGTCTTGTAGTTTGTGAACCTCGTCAACATTGTATTGCGCAGTATGCGTGCTGATATGACAAGATGACAAGAAACCTTGTTGTGTAGTGTAAACACCACAGCAGTTCAGGTAGTCTTGCAGTTCTGTAGTGTGAGCTTGCCCTTGTTGATCTGAATGTTTACAAGAGCGAGTCTTGTAAATGATGCTGGGAGGCCCTTCTCAACCATGGAAGTTCAAAACAGTGATCTTTTTTTTTTGGGGGGTTTGTTGGGTTCCTAATTTGTACTTCTAAGGCATGTCTAGTGAAAACCTCTTGATATGGTAAAATTTTTATTTTAATCTAAAAACAATATGAAATGTTTATCACAGTCATGATTCTCGATGTACTTATGAAGAGATTGCTTCATGTTTTTATGGACCATTTTTCAGTGGGATGTTTCAGATTCCGTGTCATCAGACTGCTTCAGTTTTGTGTATTCATAAATCACACTGCTGCTGATTAAGAGTTAAATTGAGATTTTTATAAGATTTGATTGCATGACTTTGCACATTAAAAGTGTTTCAAATAATATCCCAAATCCATCTTCATTGTCAAATCAACATTTTCTCATCTTCTACAATACCAAAGACCACAAACACACTGTATTCTTTCCAAATGATTTATTTGGATAAGGTGCACGCTTTCTTTGGAGCAGTTGACACTTCATCTCTTTAGTCATCTGCAGCAGCGTCCTGAGCCCTGAGGAAGCTGGCCTTTTTCTGGGCCACACGGTCCTTCCTCTGGGCCAGAGTCAGCTTGGCACGGTTCCACCTACCAACACAATATTCATCAGTAATGAGAAAAGAAACACCTCGTATGGTCAGAATAGTGTAAAAAAAAAAAAACTCTGAAAATATAAACATCTGACATGCAACTGTTGTAAGTAGCAGCTACAGCATATTTGCATCATCTTAAGCATCACCCGTGAGACCTTATGGGAACACTCAAGACTAAAACCTTTATCTAATGGCGCTTTTCCACTGCATGGTACGGCACTGAGGCGGCGCAACTATGACGACGTGAATAATCCCGCCCACTCTAAAGCAGTACTGAACTGCAGTGGAAACGTAAACCGAGCCGTGTCGTACCGTACTGGGCCCTGTCGAGTCGTACCACGCAGTGGAAAAGCGCCATTAGTCAACACCACTATTTGATTTAACAGCAGCATGTCCAACAGTAAAGAACATTTATACAGTTTTGCCATCAAAACTACAACACGCCAACACTGTCAAGTTTCATGGCAATAATCAATTCCATGACTGTCAGTAGGCAGAGCAGCTTTAAAGGGATACTCCACACCAAAATCTAAATTTTGTCATTAATCACTTACCCCCATGTCGTTCCAAACCCGTAAAAGCTTCGTTCGTCTTCGG